AATCACCAGTACAGAAATCACCAGATATTCAGTAGAGTATCATTTATTACTTTTAAAAGAGAAGACTCAGCATTGTGAAAGTCCCTGAAACCTGACGGGAAGGTCTCATAAATTTTGTTCTTGTCTAGAAAAGACAAACGTTGATCTAAAACAACTTTTTTTAAAAATAGAAGTTTAGCTATAAATTACAGTTTTTTGAACAGCTGTGTGGTAAACTGCCGTTTCAGTGACTGCTCAGATATTGTGAAGAATTTTGCATTAGGACAACCCCTACTATACACAGTGTCCAAGAAAAAGGAGAAAAAAACACACATCTGGTCTCAAAACATCACAAAACTTCAAACTGGAACTTTGAGCATTAAAAGAAGCTAATGAAAACTGGCAGCACAGTTTTGGACAGATGAAATCAAAATATATTTATTGGACTGAGATGGCGTCCAGCATGGTTGGAGTGGACCTGGCTAGGATTACAACAGCTGGAGGTAGATCTATACAAGCGTTAACCATGCTGGACAGATGACATTTGTACATTTTTCTGTGAACGCAGGTTTTGAAGTGCAACAATGCATAAAAGATCAAAGATGATTTCTAGTCTCAAGACACTTGAAAAACATAAATTTCCCACACAAAGCAATCATGAAATTGCATTTAAAGGAGAAGTGAAGACTGTCACCAGTCTCCTAAATTAGAGACATAAATCCGGTTGGACGCCTCGGGAGTATTTTAAAGTTAAGCAAAGACCAAAACAAACAAAAAAAGAAGCAATTTTCCATTTTCTATTCTCTTTCTTCTGCACCCACACTTGTGTTGCCCTGGCTAATATAAAGCCATTTTAGTAATATTTAGGCTCACATTAGTAAAATATGGTGCTGTAACATAGATTTATGCAGCAGTCCTTCCATGTAAAAGCAGAGTAAACTAACTTACAACTGTGTGCATTAATGTAGTCATACTGCGTGCTTACTGAAGCCCAATATTTAATATTCCTTGTCCCTGTCAGCAAATTGAGCACTTGTTGAGCTCCTAGTTCACACAGTTTGCACTGAGTGATTTTTGGTGGTCTGTGCAGCCATTAAGCCCGAGTCAGTTGTTTCTTAATAAATGGTTTTGATGTACTTTATATAAGACCAACTGTGATGATTGTAAGAACTGAATAAAAAACAGTTTAGAGGTCAACATGATCGCTTCGGGAGACTTTTGGAAGTTTTTAGTGGATAAATCATCGCCACTAGGTGGTGTTTTGACAATATTTGCATGCAATGCTTAACAAAAGCTTCTTTGTTCTCTCCTAGCTTGCTATTAATCTGCACGCTGTGTTACAACAAGGGTGAAGTAAACGAGGAGGAAGGAACAAATGGACATAATGACGGGCAGGAGAGCGGATCACACTCGAGCAGGTGGAGACGCACGCATGTCACCTCTAGGGGGACTCCTGCGATCATGAATGGGATGGGAATGTTGGACTGGAACTGTCAGTGTGTGTGTGACTGTGTGTGTGTGAGGGAGAGAGATAGAGAGAGGGAGAGAGGAGCGCTGTGAATGTAGGGTCGTAGCTTTGGCTGGGAAGAGAGAAGGCTGTCCTGCCAATTTCGCAGTTTTCCCTTGCTTTCCACAAGGACAGACCCGCATCCGAAGTGTGTCACGGCGGCTGCGTAAAGACCGAAGAGAGGACTAAGCTCCACTGCAGTGTTACGGTTACTCCTACTGGATGTCCACTGGTAAGTACACTGCATGTCTTAAGCTTTGTATTGGGCAACCATGTGAATTTGCTACAGCTCGGCGACACTGAAAAGCAGTCAAAGGATAGAGCCGTGGAAAAGACTGGGAGCAGTTGACTTGCACTGGAGTGTGTTTTGCTGTGATGACTGCGGCGGCGTTGAGCCGCCTGAACTATTCAGCGGGACTGTACACTACTGTACACAGGCGCAGACATCACTTCATTTATGTAATGTGACATTTAACGCGAAGAGGCGAATCAGCCGAGTGACACTTGGCGATTCTGCCCAGAGCGTTTCACCAGCGTCCTCTTGCCCAGTGACCTGTTTGGAGTCCAAACATAATGACGTACGCGTTTATGTTGGGGGAACAGGCCCGGTGTGTAGCCCTTTTACAGCCCTTATCACTGTACAGTAGTCCTGTGAGCTGGATAGCACATTCATCCGATATCAGAGGATCAGCTGCCAAGGCAGAAGTTGCCCAACGGAATGTTTTACTCACGACAAGTTAGTAGAGGCGCTGATGTGTGGCAACCTGCACTTTCTTCTGCAACCCACACACTCCCGGCTGACTCCAGACTATCCGGGTCCAACGCCGTCTCCATGAGATTTGTGGTTAAAGCGGCTACATTTGAACACTGGGAGCAGTGCCTCAGTGGCTACTTAGAGCGTCCTGTTATGTAATGCGCTTCGGCCGACTGCCCCTTAATCAGACACAGCCTGGGCCTACACGTGTAATTGCCAAACATGTTTTCGGACATCAGAATCATGTTAGCGCCGGTGACCGCAGGACTGTTGCTGCTCCGTGTCAATGTGCACAATAATACAGATATTTGCTCGTACGCATCGTCCTAATTTTTAAACGCACGCAGGACGGCTGATTCCAATGTACACATGTGCAATGTACAGATTCGTTTCGTGGTTTATGGCAGATGTATGCCTGCACAGATTGCATTACATAAGAGCCGCATGTCGCAGTCTGACCTGTCGTAAATGTATAAGGATGAGTCGAGGACTAAGGTTGTTTCTGCAGGAAAAATGAAGGTGAAGGGACACATGCTTGCAGTGTGCCAGAGTGGGTCATACGCCAAAAAAAATGCACCCAACGTGAAACAGCATGCTAATTACTTTACCAGTTTGTAAATGTTGTGATCAGCTATTAATCTATTATTAAGTAGGAAGGAATTTAATTAAATAATAGTTACGGAAGAGATGGTTTCCCAGCTTGCACCAGTGTGGGTTATATTTAACATATAGTTAAATAGTTATCCTTTTAGTTTTCAGCTTGGCAGCTTTCATGTTAGAGGCTGCTGTTGATTATAAACATGTGTGCACTTCATGCTTGCTCTTCCCACCATTAGTCTTAGCTCTGTCAGCCTGGGAGATTTGCTTATTGAGTTTAGAGGTTAGCACTGTCCTTGACATGTACTGCTACAATCCAGCTATAGTGAGTCATCAAAGCTAATGGGGGAAGCATGGACAATTTAATCTGGACTGAAGAGCTCTTGATCTCTGATGGTTCCCACTCAGTAGGCCTTTGTTGTCAAATAGAGCACACCCATGCCTGCCCACTCAAGATGTTAGGGGCAGATTTCGGTGGCAAAGCATGGCAGAGTGCTAGCCACCAAGAAGTGGTGTTTGATACCAGTTGTGGAAGCCGGCAATCAGTGTAGAGCTGGTTGGAACGGGCTGCATTCTTTGTCATGGTTTCAGGATAAAACTTATGAACGGCACCTGCTGCACGCGGCAGGAATTAGAGGAGGTTCTGCTTTTACAGTTCAGCATTTTGCAGGCAGAACAAAAACATTTGAAAGTGTGGTCCCAGGCTGGCTGAGGCATGGAAAGAAAAGAAGTGGAATGGGCAAACCATACAAAGACGTGCACATTCAGTGGCATAAATAGGCCCTATAACACCAAACATATGTGTAATATGAAAAATGTATACTATTAATGTTAATGCAATCAGGTGATATTCCCTCATGCTTTGTTTGCTTAACAATATGACATGTTTTTTGTGTTTGTTTTTTCATTTGCTTTTACAGGAGAACAGGTGGTTTTTAAAGGCACTCGGTGGTGTATAGAGTTGACACACTTACTGTTTCTACAAAAGAAAGCAACTCAAATGCAGACGCCCCTCTGATGCTTTTGGCCAATTTGAGCTCATGGTGTGTGCTCGCTGGGGTAAACTAGTGGCCTGGCCAAAGAGCGCAGTGTTGCTAAACACAATTAAGCCAACACAGGTGAGACGATTCTCAAATCTCTATATTAAAAGAGATTAAAAGCTTCAAGATCAGTACTGTTTTATGTGAAACATTACCAATTGTATGTTGTGTTTTGTAGGATGTCATGGGCCAGAGACCTCTTTCCAGGCAGAGTGGACCAGCGAAAGACAGCATGGGGAGAGCGCAATGGCAAAAAAAGGAAGGACAGCTCGTCACTATGCAACCCACGTTACATGAGCTGCCTGAGGGACCCGGAGGACTTGGAAACCCCTAATGCTGCCCCTCAAAATTACCACTGTGGGGCAGGCACCAGTGGGAACAATTTTGGCCTGCGCTGTGGCTGGCAGGAAGACCACTATGCGAAACGGATGGTTGGTGGTGGAGATCTGGGTCTAAAGGCTGTGAATCTGGGCTTCGAAGACGGTGAGCTGAAGGGTAGGAAAGAGGAGGAATTAGGACAGTTCTCTGAGGGTAGCTGCAAGACAATGACTGCCGCAGACTGTTGTATGCAGGTCGTGCGAGTTTTTCAATCCAAGAAATTTCAGTCTACCAAGCTGGAACGTCTTTATCAGCGGTACTTCTTCAGGCTCAACCAGAGCTCTCTGACCATGCTAATGGGAGTTCTGGTGGTGGTGTGCGTTGTTATGCTTACCTTCCACTGTTTCCAACCGGAGTCAAGCCTCAGACCTGGCTACATCTCAGTACTGTCTGTGGCCATGGCTCTTTTCCTGGCGATGATGGTGGTGTGCAATCGCAACGGCTTCCACCAAGATTACATGTGGATTGTGAGCTACCTTGTGATCGGGGTACTGATTGTAGTGCAAGTATATGGGATCGTCAGCGTGTCCCCCCACAGTGCATCAGAGGGCATCTGGTGGACAATGTTCTTCATCTACATTATCTATACCTTGTTGCCAGTCAGAATGAGAGCTGCTGTGCTTAGTGGAGCTGTGCTGTCCATCGTACACATAGTCACCTGGTATCTCAGCAAAGACAATAAGGATAAGTTCGTTTTTTTTAAACAGGTAAGTGATGACAATAATTTTAGAATAGATGGAGATATACATTTATATTTAATTTGATGTTATTTCAACATCCATAGAGCAATTGTTCAGTAGAATATTTATTTCAAAACATTCAGTTTGAGTTACTTTCAAACATCATTTATGTTTTATATTGTATTATTTTTTTCAGTTTTTTACTTTGCTTCCACGTGTGACCGGTGTGTTTTTGCGTTGTGTCTGACAAAGAAAGGTAAAAGAAAGAAAGACCTCCAAGTAAATAACTTGCTCGCTCCAGCTCCTACAACCAAATACAAACAGTGGGGGAGAGGGTTAGCTCAACCCATCACAACTTCCAAGCTAGCCAGAATTATATATTCATGCTAGCATTAACGGCGCCTAAAACACATTTGTGGCACACACATACTACACATTTATAGCATCTAACAAAAACTGGCACAATGATGACAATAATTGAACTAAAGACACACAATCAGAAACATCAGGGTGGCTAAATATAGATTATATGTGTGTTGTACAGGGTCTGGAAAGAAATGACACCAACCTCTCCCACAGGGTAATTGTAGAAAAGGGGAGAGGCCAAAGGGGTACACTGTATTTATAGGGTTGCACCAAAGAAGAAGAAGGACAATGAGGAGGGGCTCCAACTGATAAAGAACATAACTACAGGCTTGAAGGTCCTAAAAGTCAGGTATAAACTGGAAAATAAAATTTGTGGTCTAGAACACATTTTGTGTAATTATAACAACATGTAATGTCCGTTACACACGGAGTCAGACATGCTAGTAATTTTTAAAAGTGGTCTTGAGCAATAGTTCTCCAGGATTTCTGAAAGTCTTTGAAAGTTTTATCTTTGGATCGTGGCTGCTTTTTCTCTCACTTACAGTTCAGTCCTTGTACTTGACCACTTTCAGAGGAATGCTTGTTAAGCCACTTAACACTGACCTATGAATCAGTAAAGCATAAAAAGGCCCCTAACTCAAAGGGTGAACCAGTGCTATGTCTAAAAACAATGGCTGGCTTAACAAAAACAAAAAACCATTTAAAGGCATTATGTTATTGCTATCCTGTCACAAAAACACATAAAATGATTTCATATTTCTTTAATGGAATCTATGAAAAATGTCAAAGATAGCACAGATTATGTTTGCACCGACAAGGTGATTCCCAAAGAGCTATTAGCCAAAAACTTGTCATGTCTTGAAATTGTGTTCAGTGTGGTCATAAAAATTGTGAGAAAACTAGAGAATTTCCTGCAGACGAACAATCTCTGTAAGTCAGGAATATGACATTTAAAAAAAAAAAAAGCTTGAAGACCTGAGAGACGCACCTGTCCCTTCAGTTAGGATGTCTTGAGCAACAGCTCGCCAGGATTCCGCCCAATATTTTTTTCTTTTCCCCCTCTTGAGCTATTACAGGGGGTATCCGGATTTGAACCGGAGACCTCTTGATCTGCAGTCAAATGCTCTGCCACTGAGCTATGCCCCCTACACGAGAGCAGTACCGGGCTCCAAACCGTTAGCAGATGATCCCTCAACTGTTCGCCATCACAAATGATCTCAATGGAAGGGTGGCTGCCAACAAGCTATTCTTAATGAAAAGGCAGAAACAAGGAAATGTCTCAAGGAAAGGAAAGGAAAAGAAACAAGGAGAAAAGGCTGAGGTATGACAAATTGCACGAGAGCTGGCCTGGAATATCAGTGGGAACAGGTCCTATGGCGTGATGAATCCTAGTTACTAGTATGACACTAGCAGCCTAGGAGAGAATTTAAATGTGTGTCTTTGTTCAAAATTCCCCTAAAAATTCACCCTAAAACTAAATTTGTCCCTTAACAAAGAAATTTGTCCGAAGCTTTTTTGTTAGGCTTACTCCTATTGGATATCCAATGGTAGTAATGACGCATTTTGCAGAACTCCAAGTTTTTTGTTTTGGTTCAACATCACAATTAAGTCTTTTTATAAATACATGCATAAACGGGAATACGGTTACATGGACCAATTTCTTTTTTACAGGAAGCCACTGGGGATTTGTTTTCAAAAAGATAGTGACGGTCACGTCCACGTTTTGAAGCTGAGCCAGTATTATTCCCAGTAACTGCCTGTATATGAATGTTCTTAAAATTTGTGAGTAAACAAGACAAAACATCTCACACTTGTTGATTTGTGTTAGTCTGGGCCCGCTATTATCACGACACAAAGGAGTACAATGTTGTTACTGTACTCATCAGTGGAAACGGCCTACTTTCTCTTTCCATCAATATAGGACAAAACATTTTAAAGGCTCTTAACCACTTTTCCATGTCAAAGGTGATGTACTAAAAGTAGATGCTACTGTAGATCTCAGCAGTTTTCAAATGAGATTTTTAATGAGCTTACATTATGTGCTGTAGGGCAGCTACCAGCAGCTCTTTTGGGGTTTGTAGAAGGTCATCTGGGTTGAATGAGCCCATTTAGCTACACTGTGGAGGAATATCATGATAATGTAGCATGGTGCCATCCAGGCCGCCAGTCCCTAAAACAAGGAGGCTATTGTACTGTAGTAAAATGAAATGGGGTGGGGTGGGATGCTCAGATTGTGCAATGAATTTTATGGAAAACAGAATGATTACTTCTTCATACTGGAAGCTGTGGGGAAAAACAAAACAGGATTAGGCACTTACAATGACTTCAGCTCCCAGCACACTGGAAATATTTCTTCATCACTTTTGTATGTTGGTTCCTTCTGTATGTGCTGTCAGTTACTCATTGATTTTATCACAATTTATACTGTGTTTGCATTAAGTGGATGTGCACCGACTGCACTATTAAACTGTACGTAGTGTTTTGTAAACAAAGCAGACCTCCAGTACAGAAATAGTGGATGTCCTTCACAGACCTGCAGCAAACCATTTTTTTTTATCAGCTATTTATCCGAACAACCTTCGTTTCATTAAATTCATGTTATACGCTGATAGATGTCAAAGTCACAGCCAACTTTCCACAACGCCAGTGTGTTTAGTTGTTTTTTATATACACGGAAAATGGACTGGTTCTTATATAGTGCTTGTCTACTCTATGTGAGCACTCGCTTTTTTACTACAAGCCTCATTCACACAACTGCTTATTCTATGTCTAAGCTTATTTAATCTCACATTCACACACTTTCTCTTAGGGGTTCGGCGGGTCGGTGGCGTTTAGTGGGTTTGGTGGGATTTGGTGGGGTTCGGTATCCTGCCCAAGGAGACTTTGACATGCAGTCTAGAGTCTAGATTATATCTGCCAAACAGAAGCAAGCTGTTTGAAATTCTTTTGATTTGTAGTGAATCAATCTCACCAACATGTCTTTAATTTGTATTTTTATATTATTGGACTCTACTGGAATAGGTCTGCATAATTAGAGTTCAAAAGACTTCTTTATCCTATATCTTTATTCGCTGATATCCTAGACAGCCAAGAGTCGAGTAGAGAAAATGGTTGAAAACTGTATTTAGAGAACTTTAGGTTCACCTGTTCGCCTCCTTATTTACCGCAAACATCTATCATCAGCCAATCACATGGAAGCAGCTCAATGCTTTTAGGCATGTAGACATGGTAAAGGTGACCCACTGATGTGAAAACTAAGCATCAGAAAGGAAGAAAGGTCATTTCAGTGACTTTGAATGTGGCATGGTTGATGGTGCCACGTGGGCTGAATATTTCAAACCACTGACCTACTGGGATTTTTCATGCATAGCCATCTCTAAAGTTTGAACAACAGATTACTTTAAAAATTGTTGCCTGGTCTGATGAATCTGAGTTTCTGCTGCATGATTTGCTAGGCCCAGAATTTGTCACGAACGACATGAAAATAGTGAGCCATTCTTTATTGTATCAAGTGTTTAGGCAGCTGGGAGGGACAGTTTCAGGAGATTTCAGTTGAGAAATTGTTTTCAGCAATTGTTCTTTGGACTTTTGGAAGGTCTTCCAAAAAAAAAAAAAAAAAAAAAAGCTAAGGTCCCCTTCAGATCTCAACTGCTCTCAGAGTTGTCTTTTTCATTGGTGGCTCTATAGGGGGCATCTGGAATTGAACCAGAGACCACTTGATCTGCAGTCAAATGCTCTACCACTGAGCTACACCCCCGATGCAAGAGTTGCACCTGGCCCTTCAGATGATCTGTAAACTGTTCACCAATGCCCCACCACAAATGGTTTTCTTCTTGACATCCACCCTGGTGGTGTAATGATGTGATTAACATTTTCTTGGCACACTTTGGGCCACCTAGTACCCATTGAGCATCTAACAAACACATAACAAGTTTTTTTGCGTGGGCTGTTGCTGTACGTCACGGTCCCAGAAACTGCAGGAGGAGTGGAGCAGAACAAAGTCCAAGGTGTTTAAAGTCCAGTATGAAGTTACCACTATCTATGATCTATGATTGCTCTGTGTGTCATGGCATGTGCAGCCACCTACCAGGCCTTTTCAGAGCAGTTTTATGGAGATGCTGGTTTCCTTTTCCAGCAGGACTTGGCAGCTGCCCGCAGTGTCAAAATTACTGCTGGTTTGCTGACCATGTCGTTATTGTACTTAATTGGTAAGCCAACTTGCCTGATCTGAACCTACGGAATATGGTCAAGAGGAACATTAAAAAGATCCAAACTAGAAATAGAGCTGAGCTCAGCAATCAAAGCAGCATGGGCTTCAGTAACACCTCAGCAGTGCCATGAGCTGATCACCTCCAGATCTGATATGGACTATTTTTTTTTATGTTTTTAATTTCTAAAAATAGCTTTTCCCATATAAATGTATTAAATTTAAATTTAAAAAAATAGATAATTTCAAAAACATGTGCGGTCTGACCCTCTGTTACTGTATTTCTCCACCAGTCATGACTATTAATCAACCAGATGAATGTGCAGCCATTATGAAGAAGGCAATATTGACATAACTCTACTGGTACATTGAGGTTATGTGTTAAGTGCTCATGTCCCAGAGTGTACAACGTGACTACGGGCCCGTTGGTTTGATGTCCTGTTTAGCTCTGGCCCTGGCTGTTGCATTGGTCTTCTGATGATGTCCTGCTACCTTGCCTGAGGGTCTGGACCCTCAACACAACATGTTCCAGTTTTCTAAACAATCAATGGACATCAGACTGTTCCAATCTCTTTTTGGCTTTACTAAACATGGAGGAAATCACATTTTTCCTTCGATTCTGTTGTTGTATAACAGTGTAGCACATTTTTTGCATTTATCATCTCAAATTTATATGGATTTCATGACCAAGATTTCTGTTTTTAGCTTTAAAAAATGACATATTCTTTAACGTTCAGTCTGTCACTGTGTCTGTATCACACAACTAAGCCCTTACAAACCTCGGTTACTCTGCTTCTGGGACCTTATCGACCTCTACCCCATTGTGTGCCTGAGCTGTTTGTATTTTTCCTGCAGAGATATTCATGCAGAATTAGAGCTGAGAAGATGTGAAACCGATGATAACGAGGACAAAAGTGGTCTTTGTGAGGGACCTCCACTATGAAGCAGGAGGGGTGAGGGGTGTGCGGAGGTTACGCTGGTGACAAGGGGACAGACACGGATTGAGAGCATGAAATAATACTAGGCTGACTCACCATGCTTTAAATGAGCTGCTATTCTCTTTTTTTCTCTCTCCACTCTTTTTTTTCCTCTGAGTCATAATTCCATTCTTACAAAATCCCTCTCAGATGGAGTGGCCTTTTATTTCATAGCCGACAGAGACTGAGCTCACCCTACTCATGGGGATTGCTTCCATCCATAGATCTCCACATTTCACTGTGCTCTTCTGCTCTGAAGAGCCTCCTGAGACAACTACAAAGAGACAAAGGTGAGACTGTTTCAGGAAGAAGCAAGTTGTGCCGTTGCCCTGCAGATTCAGGGTTCAGATGAACTTCTGTCAGTCTTACAGGTAGTGCTGCCTGTTAAGATTTAAAAAGACTGTCTGCACAACATTTGTGCAACATTCTCTCAGGAATGTGTTGCATAATTTTTAGGCTTTGTTCATTGTGTTTTGTTGTGGCTCAAAAGGCACTTTGGACATCATTGGTTTCCTTTTTCTCACAAATCACTAACATTTCATTGCTTTGTCCTTTTTAATTAGTTTTCGAACGAGGAAGAAGCATAGCATCTCAGAACATCAGATTTATTATCCAACTGACGATTTCCAAATTAAACCAGTGCCTGTGAGAGATTAACAAGCTGTATCCCTTAAACTCTAAAGCTTCTCTGTCAGTTAACAAATAAGTTATATATGTTAGTCCTCAGTGATTAAGCTGTTCTCATAATAACACGTTGTATCGCATCCATACATTTTACTTCAGAACAGTTCAGATGGCTTAATTTGTCTTCACTTTTATTGCTCACAGTTACTTTTTTCTTTAAAAGGCTTTGAAGTGGATGACATGCTGTCTGAGTTCGGCTCAAGTTGTTGGAAACTCTTCTTTGATATTTGATGGGTTGAAATCCCTTCCGTGTATTAACTTGGCAACTGAAGAGTAAATGTATTATTTCCTCATCTTCTGCTTACTGGGTTTTTCCACGCTTCATCCCTTTAACTGGGTTTGGTGTGAAGTCTGTTATGAGAACTTATGTGTTGTGCAAGCTGTTTCATTCCCAGGTCTTCACATCTGCTGGCGCCAAATATAAATGATCATTTCCTGTCAGTATTAGTTGTTGTGATTGGCCTTTCTGACATTTCTGCTCGGCTACTGGATACTTAACATTATAATCTCAGATCCCTGCTCTAGCGTGTGGACATGAAAAAGAGAGAAACACAGCTGTAGTTTTCAATAAAATTATGCAATAATCAAATAAGTTTGGGGGTTTAATTCAATTCAGTTTTATTTATATAACCACAACAATAGCCGCCTCAAGGTGCTTTATGTTGTAAAGTAAAGATAATAATACAAAGAAAACCCCAACAATCAAACGACCCCCTATGAGCAAGCACTTGGCAACAGAGGAAAGGAAAAACTCCCTTTTAACAGGAACAAACCTCTGATTGATCGGACGGGGCAGCTATCTGCCGCGAGACAGGACAAAAAGACATACTGTCGAAGAGAGACGGAGATTAATAATAACTAATGATCAGTTGCAGAGTGGTGTAGAAAAACAGAGTGAAAAGAGTCAAGTTAAGATTATAATTTCAGCTCATAGTGCTGAGCACTTGCTTGGTGGTTGAAAGTAAGTAACAGCTGGCATTATTATAGCCATACTCCGTATGGGAGGTCATGTTCCTTATTCTACCATTGTTTCATTGGATCAGTGTTTCCAAGATCTATGATTGTATTGTATTATATGTGGGTCGAGGCTACACATTTTCATTTGTTTGCAGAAACAAACAAATATTTCCATAGACAAATACCAACTCTTTCACAGAGCAGTGGAAGCTGTGAAAAACACTACCCCTTGACACATCAGCACAACCAGTCTGCACTCTGCTGATTGTGTGGTGATCCGACACCTGAGGAAGAACCTGTTTCTTTTGCCAAATTGCTTTGGGGTCGGCGAATGTGGGAGTGGTGGAAACACACTGATCCTTCAGCTTAACACTGGTGAAATCTGTCAATGAAATGTTGCAAGCATGACCGAGGCATGCATAATGCATTTATGCCAGAACATTTGTGTTGCATAAGAAAATCCAAAAGCAGCTACAACTTCAGCTACTTTAACCCTTTGAATTATGACGGGCGCTATGTCTGATATTCACGTGTAGGGAACAGCCTCTGCTCTCTGCTGCTAAATGAAAATTATAGAGATCGTCTTGAATTTAGATGGTACCAGCTGTGATGCTCGGATGTTCTTGAGTCATCGGTTCAAAAATATTACACATTACACATTTGCAATACACGATCTGTCTATCAGCTTCACTTGCAGGCCTCGGAGCGCCTCCCTCCCTTTGCTGCTGTCAGATGGTGAGAACTCATCGTCAGGTACTTCACCTCCCAAACAATTCAGTAGCCGAAATAAAAGACCCCACCCGCCCACCCCTCACCCCCTTTACTCCCGACGCCACCCTATCAGAGAGTGAGAAAGTTGTGACTCATCCAGTTATTGTATTACAGCCAAAGGCAACAATGCGAACCCGGATAATTTTTATCACCATGGGTGGGAGAAATTAGGATTGACAATAAGTGAAACATTACTGTTAAAATACAGAGAGTGATAAGGGAAATAATAGCCAGGCTAATAATAGCTGTGTGAGTCAGGCAGGAGGAAGTGCAGGCTTCTAATAACAGTTCATGGTTTACTAACAACTTGGCTCCCTGCAAAAGTAAATACAGGGATTTGAGGCTGAACTGCCATGGCTGACAGCCAAGAGATATATATTAGGAATCCATTAGTGGTGTTAAATGTGCATCTGTGCGGCATGTATGCCCCTAAGCTTTTAAAGGCGGTTTTACTCTGGATATTGTTGAGTGCAGTACCGATCCCAGTGTTCGTGACAGGAAGGTGAATGGGTCTCTGTCAAAGGTCACAGTTACACTAGCCAACTGTCCTGTTATCCTGGCTAACTTGGTTACAGTTACAAAACTGTAACAGAGGCGACATATGTCAGGCTGGAGTGAGGAGGTACTGATAGGGTGAAGCTGTAATAACATGTTTGCTATCATTGTACAAATAGGCAACACCTTCTTTCTAATAAAATAGGAAGAACACATGTCGAATGTAATAGACTACATAGATCCTCATTTATGCGCTGTGCTGTGCAATACTGTGTTCCAGCTGACCAGAGCAGATCTTTTAGCTCATGTCATCCAGTGTGTATAGATTTATTTTAGGTTTAAATGACTGGGCCTCTGAGTATGCTTTTTTTCACATTTTAAGTGAATGTCATCAGATATAATAACAATACCCCAGGCCCATGATTATAATTTCACATCATCAGATTTAATCCAAATCAAGGTGAGCTCTGTCTTGTGTTCGTGCAAAAGTTTTATGTTATGTTTCTAGTTTAATTATTATATAACTTCTGTGAATATGGAAGATAAAATAAACAGTCGCTTCCTGTTGAAATGGACAGAGGTGACCAGGACATTTCTTGTTGTACATTTCTTTGCGTTTCTCTAAAATCGTACTCACTTATACATCTATTCTCAAATTCTGAAACGATGCTCATGTTTTAGGCTTCATAAACGTGCCACATGGCATTTCCAGAAATCAGCCCAGGAGGCAAATGTCTTACATGCATGAGTTCAGTATCAGCTCATCCTTGACCGAGCAAGTGGTGAAAGACAAGTCTTCACTGTTTAAACTATAACCTGTTCTTGTCCCAGTATTGATCTGCATACTTAGTAAAAGCCAGCGGTGTGTGATGTTGTTGAGCGAGAGCAGGGCGGGACAGTGGGCGAGCACATGCTTATATAACTGAACAGTTAAACTGAACTCATGCGTGTTTAGTTTGACCTTTGTGCACATTTATTTTAAAGTTGTTTAATGTTTCCCCCTTTTAATTCTCTCACTCCAGCCTAAAGACAGTCTTACCCAAAAAATAACAAACTTACCATGTATTACACAAACACGGTGCTCTGGATTTGCACTACAGAGCCATTTTCCTTCTTTTGAGCAATGCCTCGATATTAATGTTACATTGGTCTCTCTAGAGATGCAATGGCCTTTATGTTTTACGTTATGTGCAAACAGAGATGAAATAGAAGCTCGAGCGGGAATTCCTGGATGTTCAGCTCATACTCACACACTTCAAGGTCTGACCTCTGTCACACAGCTCAGTCTTTGGGAGGAGGAAAGTGAACTGCCGGTTGGTTGGTTGGTTGGATAGTCTAATTGTCAGATTCTGTGTTCCTTCAGCTGCCGTGTTTTAATTGCAGCTGTGCCTGTGAGGGTCTGAGCAGGCAGGAAGTGGAGGGTTAGCAAGGACACAGCTGGAAAGCTGGAAGGAGAGGGTTGAGTCTAGTTCTACACACTGACCCCAGACCTCTGAGCAACGGAGACACACAGCAGCTTGTGTGATTTGAACCACAACTTGGAGCTAAAATTCTTTTACGTAATGAGTGATAATTCAGCAAGTAAATGAGAACAGCAGTTGTTATGGTAATGTTGGCAAAATGTTTACAAAAAAGAGGGGGGGGGGGGGCTTTGTGTGATCCTCTGCTGAATTTGTGAGTTTGCTCAATGACCAAGAAATGAACAGTCTCCACTTTTTATGGTCTTTAATTTTTATTAATTTGACTGCATCTTTAAATTGAATAGAACTTCCAGTAGTCATGAGCCATTTACTTGCTCGTAACACTTCTGAACTTTTATAGAGACAGAAAATCCTGGGGAAGAGAGGAAATGGGGGGCAAATAAAGGGTCCTGGAGCAAACCCAAACTGGAGATGTTACATGATATAATTTTTTTAACAAAAAGGAAGTAATTGCTAAAAGTTGTGTGTCTGCTATTCTTTGTTGAGGGAACATCAATGTTCTCATTAACCACTCACTTCTTATTTGTGTCCAACTTTACCAACCCACGTGTCTCTCGTTTACTGTTATTTTTTCTTTAAAATCGTTATGACTTTACTGACTTGATATCACTTGCTGTCTTAGACTTTCTTCATGTCTGTCTTGAGCTTCCATAGATAACATAAAGTGGCAAAAGAAGATTAGTGTAATTACGGCAAGCTACTTGTACTGTATGTTTTACTCAACAAGGAATATTATCTGGTAGTTTGTAGTTCAGCCTGCTAACAGTAAATTGAAAGATGAGATATTGAAAATGAGGGACAAACAAGCTTCACAGTGTTTTGATTTGTGGAAAAACTTGTTGGTATTAAAAGAAGTGAGCGGGTAGTTTAAGCTGGCGGTTAGTTTGTTATAGTAATTCCAGGATAGCTGGGAGATTTTCCACGTGTTTTATTTTCCTCATGTAAGTATTAATTCAGGATCTGTTTATCTGGCAGATGTGCGGCCTGGGTCCAGCTCTATTTAGCTTCGCGGAATTTGCTTCAGCGTTTCACAAAGATTACTCCGTGGCCTCACTGGTCGCCTGAGACCAATTTTGGTTTGGCCGGAGTCATGACAAAAACAAAGCTCCGATTGCAGATGGCAAGAGCCCAAGATGGCAAAGAAGGCACCCCCACCCTTCAGCAATATCTGCCTTTATAAGGAATAGCATCCTTCTTAAATGAGTAATTACACAGTTTAGTGACAGCTGATTAGATCAGGTGTAGGCAAACAAAATGGGACAGTATTGTCTATTTTTACTACAGTGGTACTACATGTTGTTTTGTGTTTTTGCAGGCTATGATCAGCAGCGTGTGACTGGGCTCTGCCGTTTATCTTTGTAAGACATTTTGAAAAGCTCCAGATGCCTATCAGAGGTCATGTGCTGGAGTTTAGTCCCCATGTCAACTGCAGTCAGTGTCCCAAGTGTTGACTTATGGGATGTAGCACTTTGGCCTTTTAAAGTTTAAGCTTTTTTGCTCAGGGTTAGTGAAATATCTGAACTTTTCTTTCAGGCTTTTTAGATACAACTGCATGAATCCAAGCACCGACCAAAAGAAAAGCGCCTTTAACCAGCTGGCTTATTTTAGTATCTGTGATTGACAGGTCCTAGTTTTTAGCTACCCTCGGTGTATTGTCCATGATTATAGTTACAATTTAATATGACACTCTGTGGTTTACTGTTGCCTTCACTTAGCTAAAAGAGCAAAAGTAATGCCTGTACAGTGTAGATGTGCTGTCAAATGCCACAAAACTTTATTTTATTGATCAGAAGAACTTTTATCTCACTTTTATCTCTTTTTGTTACTTTTTATCTCTTAAAAAATGGATAAGGATGTTGTTGTCATAACTCGATCTGGGCACATGTGTGTTCCAGCATGCTTGAGCATGAGGGAATTGTCCAGTGGGATATTATTAAAGATAGAATGGATTTAGTGTGTGTTTGCCAAGCAGAGATCTTTTCCATCCCCATTCCCTCATTTGATTATTAGCATGCTATCCTTTTTTCTTTTTTTAACTTTATAAAGCACCTTGCTGTGAACCGCACCTTATAAGCCAATGTTTGGTCTCCTTTTAACTTCACCGCCAAAAGTGCCTGCCTAAGTAGATGTGTAGGCAGGCTCATCTTTAAGAGCCAAAAGTCTGCAGGAAAAATGGTCAGGAGGCATCAGTGGAATATACTCTAAATCCAGATTAGTCGTTATAAAGAGACTGGCTCAGTGTTAATGGAGAGAAGCTGCTTTTCTGTCTTCACTGTTTAGGCAGGGTAGTGTCAGCCGGGGGTCTGTGCTAGATTTGGAGTTCTGGGTGATATGAGTGCAGCAGCAGACACAACAAGCTTCAGGATCAAAGAGCTGCCAGTCCAAAAGGACTCTCTCACACACACACACACACACACACACACACACACACACACACACACAAGATTTATTCAAAAGTCTCTGTGAATGCGTCTGCCTCTAATCTCTAAGCATATAAGTTGGCATTAATACAAGCTTTGTTCATCATGTTTCTTCACACTTCACTTTCACTCATTTATAGCTATCCGGCTGTTATATTGCACTACTCTTCTACATGCAGTCAGTAGGTTTTAATAGTCCTGAATGCCTCGTCCCCTCTTGCATTTTAAGGCTTTTGCAAGCTTCAATAAATGCTGCACATACATTTGCATCCTATTTGCAAATAAATGCCTATCCTCGCTATCCCAGCACATCATTGCACTGAGAGTCTTTATGCGTGCATAGCCAGACTATCAGTTAATTTCTTTTCTAGGAATAATATATGGATTAAAATTGCTCACATGGAAAGCTCGAATCTCTGAAACATGTGCATTGTTGAGAAGTATGGTCAGTTAGTTGCAGAAGGTCCTGTATCTTAGAAGGGCCACTTAACAAAATGAACCGAATTTGCCTGCCACTGTCCTTTGGTAATGGTGTTGTGTTTCATTTCAAGCACAGGCTGTTAGATTATCTCTGCCTTGTCGTGACAACAAATAGTAAGTTCTTGTGTATACACTGTAAACCTTTATGTGGGGACAGTGGCAGAAGATCTGCCATCACTCTGCAAGCGTGAGGGTTGAAGTGTGGATGCTAGCGCAGTGATGCTTTTTGAAAAGGCGGAGACACATCTTTAAAAAATGCAGTGAATGTACATATACAGATAATCAGCCCCTATCTCCAGTTCAGCGGCTCTGTTCCGCCAACTGTCTGATAAAGACACATTACAAGCATGCACAGAGAAACACACTGGTCTGGTGACATACCAGCCATGGCACAAAGTTTTCAAATCTTCAAGTTCACTGAGAGTGATGTCTTTAAGACAGCTTTAACATTCAGGCTTTAGTGTGTCCAGTGCGTGCATGTCCTGTTCTCATTATTGATGATATCATCTTCAGAGGAAGCACCCTGGGCTGTGGTCAGAGGTGAAGTGACTTTCCCAGGCTGGAGTGTGTTTCTGAACATGGAGGGGACGTGTGTGTGTGTGTGTGTGTGTTTGTGTTTGTGTGTGAACGTGCATGCCCACGTGTTTCTAAGCTGAGGGGAAGTCCAGAGCTCAAGGCATCCATTTCTGATCTTCAGTCTTGGCTGTGGACTAGTGAGAAAAGAAATCACTAACAGACTCAAACGCTGGCTTACGGCACGCATCCGAAAACACAAAAAGTGAGTGGAGCAGCACAGAGGAATGCCTTTAAGGTCAATGACCCCACAAAGTTAACTGCACACGATAAACTTAATTTACTCAAGCCACAGATAATGTTATACAGACTGTGCAGAGCAGAGCCTCATTGTTAAACTTAGTGGGTACACACAAGGAAGTTACAGTACTGGATCTGTCTGCTTCTATCTGAAGTTGCGCATTGAGATAGACTACCGCTTGCATAAAAGATGTTCTGTCTCTCTGCTTTGTACTATTTGCCAGGAGATTTTAGATTTTAACAAAAGTCATCTTTTGAAATGCTGGAATAATCTCCCTGTTTTTGCCTTTTAATTGGATTCAGCGCAATAAATACAATATTGTTGTTAGCTCTTAAGAAAAAAAAGCTGGAATGACACAATCCTCCCGCGTCTCCACTGATTCATAGCATTAAAAAGTCTGGGCTTCCTCTCTGCCATTAAGAACAAGTGTGAAAAAATCCTTTGCAAAGCAAACACAAGGCCATGCTCATCGTCTCTAACCAGATCATATCTAATGGCCCCTCAGACATTTGAGGAATCTTTCGCCTTGCAGTAATTCCTATGACATAGCATGTTATCATTTTCTCTCAATGACCTCACCCAGGTCAGTCAGAGTTTATTGAATTATTATGACAAGATCTGCACATGTTTGATGCTCTTTTGTTTTCTTTTCAGCTTCGACCTCACGCTTTGTGTCTGTCTGTGTGTTTTCAGATCAGTGCCAATATGCTGATCTTCCTGTGCACTAACATGATCGGGATCTGTACTCACTACCCCGCTGAAGTCTCCCAAAGACAGGCCTTCCAGGAGACTAGAGGATACATTCAGGCCAGACTGCACCTACAGAGGGAAAACCAGCAACAGGTACACTTATGTGCACACGGTATGCACAGGCACACACATAGAGACACCTGCTGAGACCAAGTCCTGTAGAAAGACATATACACAAATGCAGAAGAGCAACAAATGAGTGTCTCAGTTTTCTAGTCTAATTTGTTTGTCTCCCTTTTTGAGGTCAACAATATGTTCTGGAGTATAACGTGTATCTCCGCTCCACTCTAATTTACTAACACCTTCCCACGCAGATCCCAGCGAGCCAGGGTGACTCAGTAAACACTCCAACAGTGGAAAACGCTGAAAATGAATGAACTCTCTTTATGGTGCACTGTCATATCTTCCTTTCTGTTTTAATTCATCTCTCTGTCTGTTCTCTCATTCTCTTGTGTCATCTCTACCTCTCTCTCAGGAGCGCTTACTGCTGTCGGTGCTGCCACATCACGTTGCCATGGAGATGCAGGCTGATATCAGTGCCAAGAAGGAAGATATGATGTTCCACAAGATCTACATTCAAAAACACGACAATGTTAGGTAAACACAGACAGATGAATGCACGCACATGCTTCTGCACGAACATACTATAAGGCTCAAAAAATGTGGGAGTGCTCAGCTAGCTTCGACCTCAGAGTCCCTCCAACCGCTATTTCCTTTAGAGCATGTATTATGCATGTTGCTGGTTATTGACACTGACAGCATCGGCATAAGCAACAATATTGGCTTCAGGACGCTGATGTGCTTTCTGTAGCAAATAATTTCCGACAGATCTCAGAGTTTGCTGCCTCCTACTCTCATCCATCACTGATGACTGACTACTAACAGGTGATTGAATCTTTCTATTGGCTGTACTGCAGCAGAGTTTAGCCAGCACTGTCCATGTTGTGGTGGCGTGGAGATTGTAATGAGGTTAAAGCAAAGATCTCCTGTCATAGGTGACCCAGATGCAGCACCACTGACCTACCAAGGTATAAACTTACACAAGCAATCCATTATCCAAATTCAACACAAGACTAGAAGATAAAAAATACTTGGGTTGCTTTGAAAAGGCAATAACACTTAGAAAACAACTAAACTCAAGATATTCAGAGTGTTTTGATTAGCTTAACCCTAACAGGTCTGTAATTTTAAACTATATTTAGTCAAGCATTTTACAAAGTTACTTAGAAAGACAAATCAAATTTAGCATTAAGCAAAGCATTAAGTAAAGCAGTAATTAAAGCAGCTCATCCCTTCCCATTGCTCGCCCACATGAGATCGTTCACTTGAGAGCTGTGCAATCACAAATGTTATTAAGGTGTCCTTTTAAGCTACGTTAGCATGCTCACAGTCGCAGTGCATCTCCAGGCCACTTTACAGCCCATGTCCATCTGAGCGACTCCCTTTTATGCTGTTTCTGAGCTTATCCGTATCATATCTATTGTTGTTGATGCCGCTCCATTCTTGCATCTCTCGCCGCCTCTGTCTTTTCATGTAGCCACATGTCTCCCAGTGCTTCTCCTGGCTCTCTGTGTGTGAAGGACTGGGAAGTCCTAAAACAGAACACTCCTGCCAAGTATAAGTTACTGCAGGAGTGAATAATAATAGAGTTTTACTGGCAAACCAGTAAAACTAAGGTATATGAAGTTTCAGTACCTTAGTTTTACTGGGTTGCCAGTAAGACTACAGTATATGGCATACTCAGTACTCAGTTCTGAGCCCTGAGCTTTTTCTTCCAAAAACTGCGCTGGTTACTCCTGATGTGTTTTTCATGATGCTGCTGTTTACAATAGGAAGCTGGTTCACTAAAAGTGGTGTTAGCAAAAACGCATATCTCAAAATATGGGTAAAAAAAAATGTCCATCCGGCATCAACTTTAGGCTCTGCTCCCACCAGTGAGAAAATACTATAGGTTTGTTTATTTGTTTATTTGTTAATTCTGTCCCTTACAGATGAAGTGGTGCATCATGGCATCGCCACATCTTGTCCACAGTGGTAGACGCAGACAAGACTTTGACCGCTGTAATTAAGTGCGAGTTTGTCCCTGTTGGATGACCTCGCAGTGGTCACAGCGCCATCTGTTGCCTTCATGTCTAACTTTCGTCTGGGGTGTTGTTTATCCTCGCCTTTCATTACTATCAAAAGTTTGCAATGAAAGGCATGCAGACAGAGGGATCGAGGGGTAGAGAGGAGGGGAGGGGGGCGTTCTCAGAGGGAAGGGCTGGAGGAGGTGACCTACATTGGCCTGAATGATGCGAGCCAGAGCCGAACAAATGTCTGCCTCTCTTTCCCTTGCTCACATGATAGTTGAACAGGAGGAGGGAGCCGCTAGACCATGCTGTCTCTTTCTACACCATGTTGATTGATTGCATTCTGTGTCTCCTTTTTCTCCCCTTTCTTTCCCTCTGTCTGTTCTGCTTCCCCTCTCTCTGTTTCCCTCCCCATCATCTCTCCTGCAGCATACTGTTTGCAGACATTGAGGGCTTCACCAGCCTGGCATCTCAGTGCACGGCCCAGGAGCTGGTCATGACGCTGAACGAGCTGTTTGCCCGCTTTGACAAGCTGGCTTCGGTGAGCTTTGCTGATGGCTGCCACTACTGTCATAGCGAAACTTTGAACCACCGGTTCATACGCATCTTTACAGTCTGTAGTCTCAGTCCTAGTTAGTATGACGAATAGAAAATGATGCATTTACTGATACTTAAGCATTGTGTAACCTGCTAATTGAACTTTGCCGAGGCTTATAAATCATTCACATTATGCGTTTATAATCTATTTGACATGCTGTGAATCAGCTGTAGGTGAAGGTCTAACATTTTATGCGTTGTGTCTTTGTTTACAGGAGAATCACTGTCTGCGTATTAAAATCCTTGGCGACTGTTACTACTGTGTGTCAGGACTGCCTGAGCCCCGTGCTGACCACGCCCACTGCTGTGTAGAGATGGGAGTAGACATGATTGAAGCTATCTCGTGAGTAAAATGCACACTTAAGACAGCCACCGTTATATTTCACTGAAAGTTGAAGACGATTTATTATGCTCGGTTTTCCATTTTTTGTCCTTTTACTCAACTATAGTAATTAGCATGATTGACAATATTCCCTTTTTATCTTATACTGAGGTGCCTAGCCTTAGTGCTTTTGCTCCACTTCCTTTAAGCCACGCTCTCTTAAAGCCAGCTTGTGAGTGATTGGGTTCACCTCCCAAACAGAAGGTTTGAAGAGCAGGTGGATGGCTTCTTTGGTTTGACGGCAGAGCTTGTATGCTCTCATTGACATTATTATCCACCAAGACTGGAAAAAACTGTCTGGACCAGAGCCTTTAGAACAGTCTCAAACCTTTACTTTTAACTCTGACTAATTATTTGTGTATATGTGGATCTGATGTGAGGCTTTGTTTATTGCATATATTTTATCTGTGGATGGCACACAGGGTTTTGAGGAGACTTTGTGAAGCTGAACGTGATGCTCGCCTTTTGACATCAGTGTTCGTGTGTGTGTTCATCTGCAGGCTGGTGAGAGAGGTTACAGGCGTTAACGTGAACATGCGGGTGGGCATCCACAGCGGGCGCGTTCACTGCGGGGTGCTTGGCTTGCGCAAGTGGCAGTTTGATGTGTGGTCTAACGACGTGACCCTTGCCAACCAAATGGAGGCTGGGGGAAAGGCTGGGTAGGTCCTGCCCAAATTACCTCGTTACCGTGCTGGATTAATCTTCCATAGGATTTATGTTTTAAGACACACTTTATGTTGTGTGTGGGCGTGTGTGTAGTCGTATCCACATCACCAAAGCGACACTGCAGTATCTGAACGGGGACTATGAAGTGGAGCCAGGTTTTGGAGGGGAGAGGAATGCTTACCTGAAGGAACACAACATTGAAACCTTCTTGGTGCTGGGCTGCAGCCAGAAAAGGGTTAGTGCATGGTCAAACACACACGCACACACACACACGCACATGCTTATCTGCTTGACCTCATCTGAATACCACACTAGTGCTATATTTCACACAAATAATATAATGGGTTGTCACCTGGAATAGAAGACGTTATTTTTCAAAGCACTTACCCTGTTGGGGTTTCTTCACTTCCAGAAAGAAGAGAAAGCCATGATAGCTAAAATGCAGCGTACACGTGCAAATTCTGCAGAGGGAGTGATGCCACGTTGGGTGCCTGACAGGTCTTTCAACAGAAACAAGGAGCCTAAAGCCTACCAGAAGATGGTGAGTTACACAGAGGGAACAGTATGCACTTTTCTACAGTACCTCCTCATCCTCTCCATTCTCTCAAGTTAAATTATAAATATACTTTCAATAGGTTGTTTAAAAAAATGTGTGCATATACTGTTGTGGACATTTCATCTGGATAGAGTTGGTATCACAGACTGTATAAAAGAGATGGACATATCTACTGTGAGGTCACCTGTTCTTCTTTTAAGGCTTAAGAAAATCCAAATAGTTGAAGGAAATGACCCCCGCCTCCCCCACTCCAACTTTAAAATTGTTATGAAGGGAGAACAAAATCATTCTTTATAACGGGTTGCAAACATCTTTATTTAAATTTGTGATGTTGGACATTTTAACAAGAAGACGAGATTTGACTCGCTTTTGGAACTGGCCTCAAGTGGCGACTGGAAGAACTAAAGTTAGTGACACTTCAGCCGTAGCGTCATCTGTCTGGGTTGTATTTCTACATTTTTATGGTGCTGTTTTTACAGATGGCATCTTAGCTTACTGTTACAGAGTATTCTTACCCTTGTCCTGACTTGCATGCTAACATGCGTATTAAGATAAGTATTGGTGACGTGACGTAAGCATGCCTACCTTATGTTGCTGTGTAAAGCCTCACAGAGTTGCTGGCATAGCTGTACACGCTTATTTGTTCCCATCTTACTTTTGGCTTCATATTAGACAGTGTTCTGTGAATAAATAAATACATTTGAGTGGCAAACAGTAACAGAAGACAACGAGGACCTGAGAAGAAGTACTGATCTGTAGGGCTCTCAAGGATTCCTATTTGAGCTAATATGATGAGTCTGCAGCTGCATATGTTTTCTTTTTCACACACTTTTTCTGACATCCTCTCTCTCTATGTTTGAAGTCTCATTTCCTTTTCTTTCGTACATTCTTTTCTCTCCTCCTCCTTTTTTTTCTCCATCTCAAAGGGTTTCAGCCCTAGGGGCAAAGAGGGTGTAATTTGAAGCCTCCCAGCATTAATTAAAACATCAGTCTGGCTCACAGGGATTAGCTGTGCAGATGTCTGAGTCTGTGTCTATTTTTCAGTCGTACTGTGACCACATGATAATCTCTTTCCCTTTGTTTCTTTTTCTATCCTGATTTTTCTTTTTGTTTTCACTCTCTCTTTTTGTTTTTCTCAGGGCATCGATGAAGCATCCAGCAAAGAAAAGTGAGTGGGTTTTTTTTTGGGTGGGCTCCAGTTTCAAGTGTTTGATTTGTCAGCTGTCACTGTAGCAGTTTAACTTTAGAGTAAACTGTTGGTTTTGCACAGTCAGATCCATCAAACACACTAATGCCATGTTATCTCTGAGTCATCCTCTGTGTCACAGCATAGGGCAACATCCTCATGTACACACACGCACACACTCGTTTCATGTCTTAGTGAGGACATCTAATCGACATAATACTTCCCCTTTGCCTAAACCTAACCATAACCCAATTGTAATCCTGACACTAAAACACATTTTGAGCCTCGATGCCTTCAACCTCGTGGGGACTGGCATTTTGTCCCCATAAGTGGCTATTGCTCCACACTTAGGGTAGTAACGTGCCAATTTTCTGTCCTCACAAAGATGTCTAAACATGTACACGCACACACGCACACTTTCACAGTGAAGCAAACACGCAGCAATGACAGTGACCTATTGTTCCCTGTACTTCACAGTCGCTGTACTCAGGAGGCACTGAACACCGAGGATGAGGTGGATGAGTTTCTCGGACGGGCCATCGATGCGCGCAGCATTGACCAGCTGAGGAAAGATCATGTCAAGAAGTTTCTGCTCACTTTTCAGACTGAAGAACTTGAGAAAAAGGTTGACATTTGACAAAAATTTAATTGAAATTCACCCCAAAACGTCCCTAAAAGAAAAAAAATTGTAAATTTCATCTGATTTCTCATTCGTTGTCTTTTCTGTAGTACTCTAAAAAAGTTGACGATCGTTTCGGGGGATATGTGGCCTGCATACTTTTTGTCTTTTGTTGTATCTGCTTCATTCAAGTTATTATTTTCCCAAAGTAAGTAGTTCTCTTTGACAAGTTGCCTTTTCCAGTTATACTGAATTGTGCACAGGAAATGTGCTCTTGATTCGTTTATGAGGAGTTCATTAGAGTTGTACATCTTAATGACTCTGTTTTCATCTATTCCTCAGAACGCCGCTTATGCTCGGTCTTTACATTAGCGTCTTCGTCATCCTCGCCAACATCCTCTTCGTCTGTGCCATCTACTCCTGCATCAAAGTACGAAACAAAGGCCTTCGCCAGTCATGTGGTTCCTCTTGTAGATAAGAGTTATTATTACATGTTTTCAGCATCGCTAATGGCATTAACTCTCCCTTATCTGATGCTCTCCCTGCTGTCTGTATCAAAGCTTTTTCCAGCTGCCTTGCAGACAGTGACCAAGAAAATAGTCCGATCTCGAGCAAACAGCACACTGGTGGCCGTCTTCACCATCCTCCTCCTCTATATCTCTTCTTTTGCTAACATGGTATGGACTGTCTTAATTTTGATGCTTTTTTGCATCATGAAATACTTATTTCCTGATTATTTTAAATATTATTACACATTACTTTTAACATAAAGTAATTAAGCACTATTCTGGCTATATGGATGTTGCTGGATAGAGGCAATTAATCATAATCTATCACTGTGACGGATGAGGTTGTAGAAATCAATATTTTCTTCATGTGATCATTATAAAGATCCATTCAGTTTTATATGTGCTCCATACATGCGTGACTATATGAATACTGAAAACTTCTAGTATATCGGGTATAATCAGATACAGCATTTTGACATAAATACTGCTCAAGGCAAAATCTCTATATAAAAGATGGGCATTGCCCCCCTGACCACACATTTTTAAGCTTGAGTGTTGGTGCCATGTTGGATTTTTGAAGTCCAGAATTAAAACGTATTCGCAGTGCTCGGTGCAGAGTGCTATGTTGTCAGCTAATGCTATCAAGCTTTGGTTAGCAAGCTTTATTTATGAAAGGTAAGGATGCAAAGCACAGACACACATCCACGCTGTTAATTTGTTCATAGGTAACAGATGAATTTCACTAAACAAAACTTCTCAGATGGGCTGCAACACATAGAAAGACAGATTTTTTGTGAGATGAGTCCACTAAAAATGGGTTAAGGGACCTTTTTTTGTACCAGAATGTAAATACACTATGAAAAGTGTAGCTGAGCATTTTAACATGAGGATTAACACATTTGGTCAAGAGAGAAGCTTCCTGGCTTATTTTTACAGCCCTTGAGGTTCCCCTTGTTTACTAGGACTTTGTTAATTTACACATGCCTATAGTCATTATTTTTACCTGAGAGGAGCAATGAAAACTAGAAACTATGCAAAAATGTCCTTCGCTGTATATCTCTTGGTCAAAGTTATTTAATAATCAGCAAACATGTTGTACCGCCTCCTAAAACCAGCACCATATGTGCTGCAATATAAGGCATAACATGTGCTTCTCTTCCTCGCTGATTCCAATTATTGACTCTTTAATGACAAACTGTTTCCTTCTCTCTTGCCAGTTTACATGCAGCAGAGAGAACCTGAAGGAGTGTGTGGCCAAGGAGTTGAACACATCAATGACTTCCTGCCTGCTTTATAACCTGACCATCAACGGTTCGACTCTGTGTTCCAGCCAGACAATGCCCTGCCCTTTTCCAGAGGTCAGCTCCACAGCATTTTTTAAAAAGCCTGTGTGTCTGTAAAGCCACTTTCAGACATTCGTTCCCTTCTGACGGCCTCTGAACGTGTCCCTTTCATGTCTGAATGAGCACCTCCGGTCGCTTTTTCATAAGAGCCAGGAGGCAGATTTTATGAAGCACTCACTAAGAAACAGAATTGTTTGGAGAGTGTCCACAGGAGAAGTCGTGTCCTATCTCACTGAATTTTGTTTGTAATTTGCAGCAAGATTAAAATATTTGTCTGTGACGCATTTTCATTATTCCCAATCCAGAAGAGGGGGTTTTCACAGTTTGAGTGCGAGGCGTGAGAGCAGCTGTAGCACCTCGTTGCTGTTACGGATACCCACATGGAGAATGAGAGAGCCTGCTCTTAGTGACAAAGAGAGAGAGAAGTAAAGGTTCATTACGTGCTTGAACCTCTGTAGCGCTCATACTAAAAATGTCTGTTCTCACACGTGCACACTTGCAGTTGTGGTTAAGATTTCATGAAACCGAGGGGGGGAATGTTAGAAGTTCGAAGTGGCTCTTTGTGTGCGTCACTTTGTATCATCACCTGGGCAGTTTAATGAACACAGCGCTCTTACATAGCCAATATTTGAAAAGGGGTTTTCGTATTTGCTTTTGCACATGCACACTGAATCATAGGTGCGTTCTTCATGTTCATGTTTGTTTTTCCTCATTGGTGAAATCTTGACTTATCACTCTAAACCTAAATCTACTTCTCTTCTTCCTCCTCCTCCTTTTGTCTCTGTTTCCTCTGTGCTGCAGTATTTCAGCTACAGTGTATTGCTGACCCTGCTGGCCTGCTCTGTGTTCCTCCACATCAGCAGCATAGGGAAGCTGGCTCTCATGCTGTTCATCCAGCTCACTTTCCTCCTGCTAGTGGAGTGGCCTCAGGTGGCCCTGTTTGACAACGCAGACATGCTGGTCATTGCCTACGAATTGTGAGTCCCCTACCGGCAACGCTAACACAGTCACTGTTTTCCCAGTTTTCAACCTGAAAAGTCTCTATTGTGTCACAGTACTGTGGATTAGGTTAAAATTAGCCTACGGTACTTTTTTAAATAAGATTTATATTCTAATAGACCTACTTTCATGTTTAGTTCTATTTTTTTTAAATATGCTCTTTTTTTTCCTGAGGCAATTAAAACCTGTTAATGATTCTCTGCAGCAGTATGTTAAGTTGTATATTTGATTATATCTACTTTAAGAGGCCCATATAGTTTGTAGACATGACTCTTTCTTGGCTGTTTTCCAGATTTGGTTCCAATAAAACTGCAGAACAGTGGTATGCATCAGTTTTAATATTGAAGACACTCATTCATTGCTTATCTTTCCCTCCTCAGCTGCGACGATGTGACCAAGGTCTCCCTAAAGGTCATGACTCCTATAATCCTCACAGTTTTTGTTCTGGCTCTCTACTTGCACGGCCAGCAGGTGGAGTCCACCGCTCGTCTGGACTTCCTCTGGAAGCTGCAGGTAGGCTGAACGATTACGTGTGTAGACTATAAACAAAAAGGAAACCAAAAATACTTAAACTCAGCAAAAGACATTTTTCACTGTGGGCAGTTTGACTTGTCATAGCCTGAAAATCATGGTAGTTTAGCTTTAACAGTGGCTCTGTTCTTATTAAGCCATGCCACTGTGCTGCTGAGCCCACATATATGGCAGCAGGACTAAAAGTGAAGGAGCTAAATGTAATGTCAAAATCTTTACTATGAGGTGTCAAATTGTCTTCTGTGAAAAGGCCAATTCTAGCAGCTGTAATAACATCATGAATCCAGTCACCTGACATCGTGACTAAGTAACCGTATCCCTCCCTGTCCCACTTAAGGCTACAGAGGAGAAGGAGGACATGGAGGAGCTGCAGGCGTACAATCGCCGCTTGCTCCATAACATCTTGCCAAAGGACGTAGCTGCTCACTTCCTTGCACGGGAGCGTCGTAATGACGAGTTGTACTATCAGTCATGTGAGTGTGTTGCTGTCATGTTTGCCTCCATAAGCAACTTTTCGGAGTTTTATGTGGAGCTGGAGGCTAACAACGAGGGGGTGGAGTGTCTCAGGCTCCTCAATGAGATCATCGCTGACTTTGATGAGGTGAGCAAAAGGAAATATAAGGAACAATTAATGCACGTTACAATAATTTAGGAAACATTTACTGGACACGGTGTGGTCATTAGATGTAACCATCTGCCAGTGCTGCTGACCTGTTGCTATGCTGCTTTTATTTCTGTCCTTTGCTGTTCTCTCCTAGATTATCAGTGAGGAGAGGTTCCGTCAGCTGGAAAAAATCAAAACCATTGGCTCCACCTACATGGCAGCTTCTGGCCTCAATGACTCCACCTACGATAAAGAGGGCCGTTCACACATCCTGGCTTTGGCTGATTATGCCATGAGGCTTAGAGAGCAGATGAAATACATCAACGAGCACTCCTTTAACAACTTCCAGATGAAGATAGGTAAACACGAAGGAGAGTGAAAATTGCTCTTGAAATCCGATAAGTTTTCTTTGGATGCGCTTTTGTGATGTCAGTCAACGGAGATCAACAATAATGCGTTCAAGCAGACGCTGCATTAATATTTAGTTAAAGTCCTCTATCTGTTATGATGTCTCACAGCCATGTTTTTTCTTAGGGTTGAACATGGGGCCTGTTGTAGCAGGGGTGATAGGAGCCAGGAAACCCCAGTATGACATCTGGGGGAACACGGTCAATGTGGCCAGCAGGATGGACAGCACAGGCGTGCCAGACTACATTCAGGTAACAGTGACTCAGTTACTCCCCAGCAGTTTGCAATTTTATGTTTACAAGAAAACGTTTTGTCCTTTTAGTAATTGTTGGATTAGTCAGCCAACATAGAATACCAATCCAGTTACTTGTTAAATTAGTCATCAAATTGTTGCCAGTGGTTATTCCAACATGAAATGCTTATTTACACCCAAAAAAATGGCCGCACATTAGCCATCTTCGCTCTAGCTGAGAAATGCTCTTCGCACACAGTTCAAAGTCTTGTTTACAATATCTAAAGCTAGACCTTTGCTCTGTGTGGAAGCATACTACAGATGCTTCCACACATACTACATTCTGCACATTCAATCAGTGCACCGTCCTTCACTTTACTTCACTTTAGGCCCAGACATCTGCCCTCCCAAAGTAAGAGTCCTGTGTTGTTTTCTAGCAGTAATTGTGCTCTAAAGTCCCTCTGGGGGAGGAATAGAGAGCCAAATCTAAATTCCCTGTAGACTTCATGCAGCTATCGCAGTGTTATCTCCTTCAGTGGTGGAAAGCCACAGCAAGTTAGCTTTGGGAAAACAAAAAAATCTTATTTATAGATGCAGAACAGATATTTTGAAATGTGTGAGAAACATCGAAAGCTGTACTGCCAAAAGAGCTCCTTGAAAGATTGATTCTCATTACAACAGCGCTGCCATCTGCTGCACACTTTGTGTTACTGCAGATCAAAATGCCCTCTCTGCTATGCACTGACGTGAACTGATTGTTTTCATTTCCCAGATAACATTTTGAAGACTTTTTGGTTTAACTTGTATCAATTGAACTACTTTTTTTCAGACACTAATAAGTGCTGAAGATTTTTTTTTTTAAAAAATTCCTCATATTTAAAAACGTATGCCTCCGTCATCATGCTTTAGGGAGAAGCTAGGACTGACTCTTAGGAAGGGTTGAATATCTAATATCCTGAGTGTCAAATATCCGTGTCATCTCTTAGGTGACTACAGACTTGTACCACGTGTTGGCCAACAATGGATACCAGCTGGAATGTCGAGGTGTCGTCAAGGTGAAGGGGAAGGGAGAGATGACCACTTACTTCCTCACCAGCGGCCCCCCAGGTAGTTAACGAGAGACCGTTTGACCGCAGAGTGACTCCCACTCCACTGATACGTCAGAGACTGCAAAGAGAGACAGAGAGTGGTCAGCTCGAAGCGTGGTGCAAGCACTCTGGGGACAGTAGAAGGCCAGCAGAGACGTGACTGTATGTTGCTCAGATGCACAAATGGAGGGTGTTGTTCGTGTTAGGAGGTTGTTTTTTTTCTCCCCAAGCTGTCCAAGAGATAATGAAGCCCAGTTGCCTTAGGACGGAAGTGACTATGCTTGTGTTTATGAGCAATAGTACAAGTATTTCATCTGGAGTAATTATTTATTTTTTTGTGGAAAAAAACAAAACTGTTTTATAAAAGAATATATGCAAGGACAACACTATGGATGAAAATAACCAAAGAACAAGTGTTTGACATTTGACACACACTAATGAATCTGCTCAAAAAGTACAGTAAACTTAAGTAATTTATTCATCCTTTTGCTAGCAAAGGCCACGGTAATGTCACTGTCATTGACAGGCATGAACCCTTATTTTGTTGTGGACTTTATAATGAAGGAGAACGTGCACGTATGCACATATATGCAGACAACAAACGCAACTACCCTGTCTTGGATTTTTGTGTTTCTTATCAGGGCCTTATTTGTTTCCTCCAGTCTGTAGTTTTTAACAGTCTGGATCTGGGCTGTTTGTGGTTCCCTTAAATCTCTGAGCACTTTGCTCTCCGAATATTTCTTTTTTTCTCTTTTTGGTTCAAGCCAAAAACAAGAAGTACGACATGAAGGAAGCACGATTGCATTACTGTCACGGAAATGAAGAGACATTGTTAAACTGTTATGAAACATTTTATACCAGTGTGTGTGTGTGTGTGTGTGTGTGTGTGGGTGTGTGTGTGTGAGACAATGTGCTGTATGTGTGTGGGTGTGACCACATGTTACTGAATGCTGTTCTTTATCTATAAGTGGGCATACCTTCACTCTTCACTGTGAGGTTTTTAAGATACTGTATGACAATGCTTTCTTGCCAAACTGGTTGCTACGAGGCATGTTTTATATTATTCTTTGGAGTTATGTGTCCATTCCTGATTTATGTGTGTGTGTGTGTGTGTGTGTGTGTGTGTGT